AGAGGAACGATGGTTTGAGAGAGGAGTAAAGGAGGCCATCTTTGTGAAAATAAATCGCCCATCATTAAACAGGGGTGGAGGCCTCCGGTTTCAACTGTCCCCCTCTTACACTGCTGTTATTGCTAGTATCACTCAACCCCCTGTGAATAGTAAACAGCCTTCAGTGTGCTAATGATCCATTGTTAGGCTGATGGTCCTTTTTGACCATGTGAGCAGCTGGTTTTGGTTGTCAGCAGCAAACTGGTTGATCCACTCCGAGAAGGTGCTGTTTAAGAGACTGAGATGAATACAGCACCTCAGACTGAGGAAGTCTCTCGGATGAGAGACGAAACGTTTCTATATGTTTTTTTTTTTTTGCTTTGTTTTGTTTTTTGTCTTTTTGAATGTCCAGAGGACCAGATTGAACTTTTTTGCATTTTTCTACCTGGATTATTGAGCATGCATCAGGATAATTGGAAATACCCTTTTTCCATCCCTCCATCCATACATGTTGTGAGCATGATAACTTGAAAAATAAGAGAGGTACTGCTTTCAATTTAGTAGTGTGGCTGCATCTAGGTGTAAGAAAGGTTTCTTTCAAAAATTGGTTTGGCACGTCAAAATACAAGATGCCTTACACCATATGTAAACCTTGTGAGCTGGATAATTTGAAAAAAATAAGCAACTTGCTGACTTCTACTTTGGTGTGTGGCTTGCGATAAGAAAGGTCTCAATCAAAAATGGGGTTGCCACGTCAAAATCCAAGATGGCCACAGCCATGTACACGTCAACCAACCACGTCGAACGTTTGAGGAAACACTACTTTCTAGTTTTTACATTGCTTAAAAGCATAGTTCCCTCAAATGATTGTGGTGACTAAAGACTAATATATGGTGGCCAAGGTCTTGGCCACTATTTGCCGCTCGTTTGCTCCACCATTGCACCTGATGGTGGATAAATTTTCTCCCTCCATTCTACTCCTCAAAGCCTTCAGCGATGGGGGACATCAGCATACTGCTTCTACCGTCAGTGATACACTGCATGATGCTGCTGGGCTGAAGGGTCCTCATATATTTTCTTGTTTTTGAGCTGCTGCATGAGATCCTTGAGTGAAATGTGATCTTTGAGATCCAGTCTGTCCTCGTTCAGGCTGCTCTAAGACTTCCTGCCTGTGTCTGTGTTTCAGGCAAGCTGACGCTGAAGATTCCCTGGAAGAACCTGTATAACGACGCTGTCGTCGCCACGTTGGATGGTTTGTACCTGCTGGTTGTTCCCGGAGCCAGTAAGTGACTTTCAAACCTTTGGTTCTGATCCATCTATGATCTGGACTGATCATTGCTGTAGACACATGGAAACAAACATCACACACGTTTTTATCTCTGATCAATGGAAACATCTGCCCAGATGGGACTTTACTCAGAAATGAAAGACACTTGGTGTCTGAGAAACACACCAATGATGCATGTGTGTGTGTGTTTCAGCTGAATCTCAGCTGAAGACGTATCCATTTAATGGTTAGCTGACAACGTCACAGGTAGAGGGTTAGGTTCTTGTCCAATCAGCCTTTTGCCGGAGTTGCACAATGTCCGAACAAAATGATAACGAGGCATTAGCCGGTTTCTGCTTTTAACATGCACCATGGTGTCAAAACCACTAAACATCATGTTGTACATTTAATCTGGTAGATAACCAGTTAGTTATTAGAGAGCAAGAGGAAAAGTTTATTGAACAATTGTTTCCAACAAGCTACAATAATTAGCATGTTAGCAGATGGACTAAATACAGCCTGTTGCAGGCTCGCTGCAGAGGAAAAGTCAGCTTTACGAAGAGCGCAACGACTAGATTCTGTACAAGAAGAACAATTACCGGTACTGCAGAATTAGAAGTAACAGATTTTCTTTTTATATCTCTTAAAGGAAACATGCCAAGTTTATAAGGTACACAATCTAACAGTTGGCCAAACATTAGAGTCTCAAAGATTAAACTTCTGATTATATTTCTATCAATAAACAAGCTGTTCATAACCCACGATTGTTTACTCCTAACTATATATATATATATATATATATATATATATATATATAGTAGTGAACTCGGCCTCCGACCAAAACCTGCCTCTGAGGACCTTCATGGGACAGGAACTGTTATTTCATTGATTTGAATCCAGAAATATAAATTAGCTCATCCAGAGACTGTCTAATTATATCCTGAATTAATCAATTGAAAGAACACTCTTCTTTTATATTATCATTACTATTTTACAATATCTTGATAAATCAAAACTGTGTTTAGTTCATACCATTTCTACATGTTGAAGTGAACCACTCATTTTAAATCAACTGTGAAACAGTATTAATGATTTTTTAATCCTCATTTAAATTAGAAATCAAGTTAAATGTCTATTTACAAAGTAATTATGCATTTTGATCTTCTGTCTGACATGAGAAGTAGTGATGTCGGTTGAAAGTCGGAAAGAAGTTATTAGAACGAAGTGTCGTGTTTTTAAAACTAGCAGACGGTAAACAAGAAGCTACTGGCATCTGCTTCCTCCCACTTCGCCATAACATGTCTTCTGTCTGTATGGGACGTTTCTAAAACATTCCTGCTGTTTTCTTGACTTGTAATGACCCTCTGACGTCACTAGAACCACCCCCTGTTGGTTGTTTCAACCAATCAGGAAGTCCTGAAGTGACCGGAAGTGAGAACTCTTTAAGAGTCCACACTTCCTGGAACTTCTCAGTCTTCAGTCTTCTTGAGTCCTTGACCGGAGTCTTCCTGGGGACTTCTTCAGTCTTTCTTGGAGTCCTCCACTTCTGAGTGGAATCTCTGACTGAACTCACAGCTTGCTCTGTATCCACCCGGGAGATGAGCGTGTTTGTTGAATGGAGTACCGTCACTACTTCGGACGATTCTCAGCCATCCTGCCCGGAGTCGCTGAAAGGTAGCGTTGAAATGGAACTCTGTACCGGAACTGACCTATCTTCTGCAAAGGTAACGAGTCGCCACGCACCGAGTGTACCGGGGCTGAGCTGGGGTCGGATGAAGGGTGCCATTCCTAGTAAACACACTTTCCCTCATCCATCTTTTCTCTCCATTTAAACTCCTTCATTTCCCATCTTTAAACTCTTCTATTTTGCCAGTAATTAATCTAGATGCCTTCAGAAAATGCCTGTTGTTTTTATTAAGTAAAACGTGCCAAGATTTATTAATCAGAAC